TCCAAACACCACCTCTTGGAGCCACCCAATGAATCAAGGAATTAAAGCAGCTTTTAAGGCCTATTCCCTGAGGGAGACTTTTGCTCAGGTTACCATGCAACTGAGGAGACACTGATGCAGTTCTGGAAAGATGACAACATCTATGACTGCATCAAGAACCTCGCCTGGGCTTGGGATGATGTCAACAAGGAGTGTGTAATGACATCTAGAAGAAAACATTCAGGAGGTTTGTTTATGACCTCTCTTCCTCTAAGGATGAGGAGGTTGCAAAAATGAACCAGTCTGCGGTTGCGATGGCAAGCAACTTGGGTGTGGATGGGAATGACTTTGAGGATCTCCTACAGGTGATTCCTGAGAAACTGACTAATGAGGAGTTGTGGGACTGGAACAGGCATGCATAGCTGAAGAAGAGGCAAGAGAAAAGAAAATTGCAGGAGAAGAAAAAGAAAAACCTCCTCAAAAATGCAGTGAAGGGTTTGGCAGAAGCTTTTGCAGACCTCAACAAGCTCCTTAAGAAGTTTGAAAACATAGACCCCAACACCAAATGGTTTTCACTATTAGAGGGAAATGTTCATGGTGCATTATCCACTTACAAGCAAATTTATGACCAACGAAAGAAACAAACAAACCAAGCAAGCCACCATGGACTTATTCCTGAAAAAACTGACACCTCCTCAAGAAGAGCCTCAGGCAGGTCCTCCGGCAGGTGTTCCAGAAGAGGGCATCGCTCTCATAGGGAGGACAGCTCCATGCACGTCACTGCCCCCGAAGGACCTGCAGAGGGACAAGAGATGTGGAGGTAGAGGACAGTGGTATCGATGATCCTGAACCTGTATAGGCCTAGGCTAATGTGTGTATTTGAGCCTTATTTTTAACAAAAAAGTTTATAAGGTAAAAAATAAATTTAAAAAAATATAAATAGGAGCCCTGGCCGGTTTGGCTCAGCGGTTAGAGCGTCAGCCTGCAGTCCAGAGAGACCCAGGTTCAGTTTTCACTAAGGGCACGTGCCTCGGTTGCAGTTTGTCCCCGGTCCTGGTTGGGTCGTACGGGTGGCAGCCACTCGATGTGTCCCTTTCATGTCGATGTTTCTCTCTTTCCCTCTCTTCCTCTCTCTCCCTCACGCTCCGTCTGAACAAAAAATGGAAAAATGTCCTCGGGTGAGGATAAAATATATATATGAAAAAGCTTATAAAATAAAGATATGAAGAAATAAAATATTTTTGTACAGCTGTACACTGTGTTTGTGTTTTAAGTGTTATTATAAAAGTCAAAATGTTTAAAAGTTTATAACGTAGAAATGTTACAGTAAACAGGTTAATTTATTATTGAAGGAAGAAAATGCTTTTTATGAATTTGGTGTAGTCTAAGTATACAGTGTTTATAAAGTCTACAGTCGTGTGTAGTAACACCCTAGGCCTTCACATTCACTCACCACTCACTTACTAACTCACCCAGAGAAACTCCCAGTCCTACAGGGTCATTCATGGTAACTGCCCTGTACAGGTGTACCATTGTTTATCTTTCATACCATTGTTTATCTTTCATACCATATGTTTACTGTACCTTTTCTATGTTTAGATACACAAATACTTACCATGTGTTACAGGACAGGTCTTACTGTCCCACCAGAAAATTACATGAGTTCCAGCTGCTCATTTTCACTATCATTTGATATTTTACAGAAATCTACTTGGATATATAACCATATCCACTTGCTTATACTTTTGTTGCATGGTAAAAAGTTTCCATCCCTTTCTTTTTAACCAGTCAATGTATTTATATTTTAATTTTTTTCTCTAATCAGTAGCATAGATTTGGATTTTAATTTTTTTAATCCAGTCTGTCCATCTCTTCATTTTAAATAAAGTGTTTAGTCCGTTTACATTTGATGTAATTATTGATATGATTGGATTGAAACCTGCCATTTTTTTGTGTTATTTTTAAATTTAACTGTTCATCTGAACAGTTATTCCTCTGTTGCTCCCTTACTGTCTTCTTTAATTGACTACTTTTAGAATTTTACTATATCTTCTCTATCAATTTCAGATTTTACTGCTTTTTTTCTAATGGTTACTCTACATACCAACATGCATTCCTTATTTATCTCTACCTTGAAATAATATATTACTTCACAAATGATGTTAGAATTTTAAAATTTTATAATGCTATTTGTCCACATATATTCTTTATATTCTTATTGTCATCGATTTCACTTAATATATATATGTTGCAGATCTCTTAATATATTGCTATTAATTTTGTTTTAAATAGTCAATGACATTTTAAAGAAATTTCTTTTATGTTTACCACTTCTGGCCAACATTTGTGTCATCTACAGATCTGGTTTTGTTGACTATTTTTCTCTTAATTATGGGACACATTTCACTGCGTCTTAGCATATGTCATGATTTTTTATTATATGCTGAACATTGTGTGAAAAATAGCAGTAGAGGATGTAGCAAATGATATTTCCCCCCAGAAAACTTCATGCTCTTTCCTAGGTCAGGACTCTGATGGAAGCTAAGTCAATCTAATCTGTAGTTGAGCTGGGTCAGGGCTTTTTTGAAGCTTCAGTTAGATTCACTTTGCCACTAGTGTCAAATGTCATGAGGGGAGATAAGGATTATCCCTTTAGGAACTCTTGGAATGTGTTCACTGGATAAGTATTCTTTACATGGAGAGTTTATGCTGCTTTGAGGAGTTCTTTTTCTCTCCAGCATTTTCCCCAACTTTCTGCAATTTGAAAGATCTCCTTCTACCCTGATGTTCTTCCCCAGCCTTTGGTGAGCTGTTGCCTTGCACTGGGTGAAGGAAAAGGGGGAATTTATCTCCATTCTCTTGTCCTCCTGTTAGCCTCTGGTAGGATGCTGCCATAGTTCTTTTTTAAGTTAAAAGTCATTGTAATATTTAGAAATAAAAAATTCCACAACAGTGTTACCACAAGAGCTACTTTGCCACACATTGTGTCTAATTTTACTATACAATTCTGTGTGTAATTAATCAATAAAAGAATTTTATATCATCCTTTAACCTAGGCAAGTATAAATTTCTCAGGTAAACTATATTATTATGCTAATATTAAATCCAGATTCATTTTAATCCAATAAAGCATTAAAAGAATAACAAATATTATTATACAAAAACTCTTATGGTTTGATATTAATGTACAAACACAAAAAAGTGTGCAGTGCAGTTTCGTTTATCTGCAAAACCATGGTCAAAATTCCAATATTTGCAAGCTCACATAACTGTACAACAGATGTGCCAGGAGCAGATACCTGGCCACACTGTAAGGATGGTAATGTTTTGACAGATAAGTGGTGTATTGTTTGCATTTGGGTTGCTGATACTGAGCACACAGTGGATACAAAGTGTAGGCCTACTCATATATGGCTGAATAAATATCTTTGGGAGAACAATAAACATTCACAAATTAACTTTCAACTGATAAGACAGGTATCTTACGTGCCATAACTGGTCAAGATTCCACTGGCATTTCTTCCAATGATGAACATTTGCCAAGAACCCGGGTGCAGAATTTACTCTTAGGGTTTCTAGCCTGTTCATCCTACTCAACAAACACGTCTTGGAAAGGCTTCCTGCCTCCTAAGTCTTTCTTAATTGTTTTGCTCTCCCTGAACCCAAGATATCAGGCAGAGAGAGATGGCGTCCCCATGGAGCGCTCAGAGCTTGCTATGGTATGCCGGCTTAAGGAATTCTTCTTGGAGGCTGCCCCACCTTCTAATAAATCAGCTGTAACCAACTGTGGACCAGATGGTTACCAGCTGCAACCAGATGTACCCAGGAGTGGGGTTAGAGTGATTCTTGATGGAGACCTTCGTTTCTCCTCACATTCCCAACTTATCCCACTTTTACTCACGTCCACCTTGGAAATCATTTTCCCTGAGCTACAAGAAAGCTCACCATCTGGTCTCCTGACACCCCTTGTCTGGAACGGTATTGTGCTGGCAGTCTCCACACACACCTTATTGTTTCTAACTTTGAACTTTTGCTTCTACTGCTCTCCTTGCTGGGGATGTCCCTTTCCTTCCCACCTCCACCCGAGGCACGGCTAACTGGTCTGTAAGACAGCCCACCACGAGCATCCAAAGAAGGTTTCCAAGAGGAAGTGTCCCCATCCGAGGCCCCACACCACCCCATAAGACTCCACGTAGCACATTGTTTTCCTGTATGTCTCCTCCCACTGGGCTCCTCTCTGGGATGCGCCAGGTCGGAGACCCTACTCATAAATACCTCTTTCCACCGTGTCTGAACTAGTAACTAGTTCACAGCAGATGCCCAATAAATGTACCCAACTAACTCAAACCGAAACTAGCTCCTCCCTCTCCTGCCTTATATTCTGATAAGTTGGACATTTCTTCCTCGGGGCAGCTGCTTCTGTTTTCCAGGGACTTGGGACAGAGAAGTTGAGGCCATAGCAACTCTAACATCTGGACGCCTTTTATTCTTTTACTTAATTTTGGAAGAGGCAAGGTCACGGCTCAGAGTTTTGCTTTCACTCAGCGGAACTTAGGCTCGCTGATCTAGCGCAGTACTTCTAAGCCAGTTACAGTAGTAAAATACGTATTTTATTATCCCTGGACTAAGTCAGATACTACCTAATACTTGATTCTAGAATAGGCAAAGGTATACTAGAAGAATTAGTAGTTATAAAAAATCTATAGAAAAAAATGTTTTAACTGAGACATTTCTGTGCACCGATTAATTTTTTGTTTCAAATTTGGGAATTGAGAAAGACAATTATTCACCTAGTTTCTGCTAGTCCCTGTGAGGGGACTCCGGTGCCGTGTAGGAATGACATTCGAGAACTTCTGCTCCAGTTAAACATAATTACAGAACGTAGCAGCAGCAAGTTCTTTCATTTCATGAAAATGAAAAAAATTTTATTTTGACTAATGGTGCTTACTTCCCGAAATAGGCTCATAACCCTACCTTGATGATTAAAGAGAGTAACCATTTACCATCTTTTTCTTTCGTAGGCTGCGAGGTTGAGATTCTTGGTGTCAGACCCACTTACTGCCTGGAATATAAAAATGTCCCGACGGATATCAACTTTGCCAATGCAGTCAGCGACGCTCTTGACTCCTTCAAGTAAGTGTCCCAGCTCCTTAGCCATACCATTGTTCTCCCTCGTTTCCAGGACCAATGATGAATGCTAACATGAATTAAGAAGACTTGGTATAGGTGAAATAATGTCTCAGAGAGGTGGTGCTTTACTGAATGCTTGTATCTCAGAAGATATTAATAAGTACTTGGCAAAAGGGAGGATCTGCGATGAAATAGGGTTAGAAAATGGCTTACTCTACCCTCTCCTTGGAAGTGTACAGAGCCATTAGCATATCAGAACGTAGATCTTTATTTATTTTTTTCCCACACGAAACCATAGCATGCAGTTTGGAAAATGCAGAGACGAGCGATGCTGTCCTGAATAGCACGCGAGTCTGTCAGGGACAGTGACTAACAAGACAGGTCAAGACAAAGCCTCAATTCAGTGTCAGAAATCACTGGCCATGGACATCAAGGTGGGTAACCAGGTCGGAGGTCTACCTGAAAAGTCAGCAACCAAGAGGCTGAGGATGTTGGGGCTCTTATGTTTCCAAGACTGGACACAGGGTCACCTTGGCGACCAAATGGGTCCCTTGGGTGAGGTTGAAGTGGAAGACCCTTAGTAATCAGAGTGTGGAGCCCATGGAAGTACCATCATCCTCCCAAGAGGAAGAACCTGGCTTCAAGCAGGACAGACCCTGGGGGCCATGATGCCACAGGCACGGCGCACAGATCCCGGGCACTGCCACAGGAACGGACGGGGACTAAGACTGCCCCGGGCAGAGTTGGCCCAGTATGAATCCCATTCCTGCCACCACCACCCCAGCTATCATGGGGAGCAGCCACCACCCCCGTAGAACTGTGGAAGCAGAAAACCACAGCCTTGCCTTTGCTGCTGCTTAGAATGATTCCACCTTCACGAAAACCTACCACGAGCATCCTCTGGGCACATGAAGGTCCAGGCTGTGATTGACATGTTGGAGAGAAAAATAAGTTTAAAACACTTAAAAATTGAGAAGGAACAAATGTAAAGGTTAGGGTGTTTGGGGGGCAGTGTGGAGGGAAGGCACAGGGTCTGGAGGAAGTCACCTTTAGGTAAATATTCTCCACCACGTGGTTTGTAACACAGGTGTGTTAGGTTCTGTGGCCGCAAGTGCAGGAGAGCCCGCGTGGTGAGCTGGAACGTCGGTCGCAGCCCCGCTGGTGCAAAGGGAGCAGAAGGCGGCAGGCGGAGCAGAGGAGCGGAGCTTTCGGACGGTCTGTGTGTGCACCAGGCTGTTTCCAACGTTTACAAATGCCAGCCGTCCCGACAGCCTGTTGCCTTGCCAGATATGAAAATGCGGAACACAGTTGTCACACAAACACCTCCCCATAACGCAACACTCTGTTCAGCAGTGTGATCTTTCACGCATCCATCTTGTCTTGACTGCACAAGGGTCTCCCCTGTGCACCGCCCGGGGACTCACAGGTGGAGAAGCCCTGAGCACAGCCGCGACCATCCCAGGCCGGCCCTGGCCGGCACGCTGGCCACCCCAGGCAGGCTTCCCTGTCCTGAGGCTACCAGCATGCTGGAGGGACAAGTGCCCTGTGGCCTAGAGAAGTTTCCGTTTCTGCTGCCTGTTTCCAGGGAAGTTTTTCTCCCTTTCCTTTCCAAGCCACGCGGCGCAGCTAGGGAACACGGGGCAAGCACAGCTTCACTGTGGAGCACAGTGTTCGAAACGGGAGGGTGGTGTTTTTGTTGTTGCTGTCGGTGGTGCTGGTGCTGGTGGTGGTAGTGAGTGTGTGTGCGCGTGCATGTGTGCATTTAAAAAGGTATGGGTTCCTCTAGACTAGAGAGAAAAACCACAAAGAACTGGAGGCCCAGGAGAGTGGCCCCGAGCGAGGCCTCTAGCGGGAGTGTCCTGGCGCGAACACGCGGCCGACATTGCGGTCGTCTGTGCAGCCGGCTTGAGCTCCGGGGATGGGCCTCACTCCGGCCACCACGCGGAGGTGCCCTGCAGCTGGGCAGTGCAGGCCTGAGCAGGATGGGTGCCGGCCAGTCCGGCCTCCTCACGCTGTAAATGTAACCGGCGCCAGGAACAGCCCCTTTGCGGAGCGGGCAGGCAGACGGAGGTCTGCTCTCTCGAACACTAGGCAGGGCTTAACCGAGAGAGAGGAAAGGGTGTGGGGGGTAACCGGCCAGATGATGCTCGCCGCCCTGGGAAGACAGTAGATGACTTAGGCTCCCCCAGAGAAAAAGGAGGCTGCTCCTTCAACCAGCCTCCGCACTGGTGGGACACATCGGTCCCCCCTCACAGAGGAGAGCAGAGGCTCGGCGGTGCGGGGCCAGCACAGTGCCCGGTCCAGACGGTGCGGAACCAGCACGGCGCTTGGCGGGCAGCAGCTTGTTCGTGCGAGAACGCGACTCCAAGGCATCATTCATTCTCCTGGCGCATGCGCTCAGGCAAGATGTCTGATGCTTATCCTCCGTCCGCTCCAAAGAAGGAGCATGTCTGGAACTCCATACTCACCTCTGGGTGTCACAGCTCTGGCTCACATTCCTCGCTGTGATATGAAGAGCATGTCGAGCTCTCAGACACGAGTGTGCAAACACACACACACACACACACACACACACACACACCCCTCCGGGCCAGTGCTGCTTATTACAGTCTTTGTCCATTCTGCTACTAGCTTGAGCAGCGGGGAGAATGGACACGGGATACAGACAGGCTTTGACAGACGGCAGGAGAGACAGTTAAGGTCTTGAACGTGGAGTCCTGCCCAGCGACAGCATTTCAGCGAAGAGTCCGTGTCAGCTGCGAAACGGCACGTGTCTGTGTAGGAAGGACCACCCCAGCTTCCACTGTGACCTGGGCATTGCCCCTCGTGTTCAGCAGGCTTTACTGACCCGAGTCGTTCATTTGTCAGATGCTACCTTTGCACGTGCACGACCCCAGCGTGGAGGAAGGAGAAGGGAAGAGAATGATGTTCTAATGCCATCTGCTAGAGTTGTGTCAAAGGCTTCACTGGCGCTGACCATTTTGCTCTACATCCGGGCACTACATAGGTGTTGTTAGCCCCACTCCCAACCGTACCCCTCACATAAGAGTCCACGGGCTATCTGGCAGTTAAGTGTCTGTCAGGTCTCACACAGCTGGTAGGTGGACCCGAGCCCAGTCCTTCCCATGGGAGCTTAGGACCCAGTCTTTCGGGGTCTCTCCTGAGTGTGAAGTGAGTGCAAACGCTTCCGAGGCAACTCCGCAGGCCTCCCATCCACACCCACCCCTGCAAGGTGCCCTGGAATGGAGTCAGCAGGCAGGGCAGGTCTCCTCCTTGGACCCTGCTGTGCCTGGGCGCATGCAGGGCAGAGGGGGCCTGATAGCCTTGGCGGTCTGCTCAGCGTCTATGTGCTCAGCAGCGTGCATCCTCAGTCACTGGTACTTTGTGTGCCTTGCCACCACTCAGGGGACACCCAGGTAGCAAGCACCCCTGCCCGTATGGCCATCTTGCCTGTCAAAAAAGAAAGCAGTTTGGGATCGCTTAATCCATCCTCCCAGAAGTTCTGTTTGCAGAATGTTCATGCTTCGAGGACAGAGGAGGGTGCGTGATGCCGGAGTCCAGTGAGCCTGAGGAGCTCGTGCAGGGGTGCGAGCCAGCAGCCCCCAGGTGAGGGCGGCAGATGCAGCCCTGGATGCCTGCAGGGCCTGGACAAAGCTTCCACCGGCTGCACACACTGCCTGTTGTAGCCTCTCCAAAGCTGGGCGATAACCACGGGCCAGGGCGGTGGTGGACTCAGCTGCTGTCCTTTGTCACACTCCGGGCTGTGACAATAGCTCCAATGTCCTGGCCTTTGCCCCTCCTCCCCCTGAGCCCGAGGAAGAGGAAAGAACACAGACTGCTGTCTCCTCCCAGCTGGGCACACAGGGCAGAGCCGTCCAGGGGCATGTCTGTGTGGGGGAGAGAAACGGGGTGTTTCTTCCCTTTTTCTCCTTTTCACTGTGTGCCGAGCACTCAACAAACACCAGCTCATTAATACCCAGTATAGCCCTTGGAGGAGGTTTTTCAGACGGGAAACTGAGGCTTAAAGATATTTAGAGACCACCAGGTTAGTAAGAAAAGAGCCAGAATTTGAACCCAGAAGGGTCTAGTTCTCATGCCCTGTCAAAGCGTAGTTTCCATAACTGAAACTCTGTCATGTGCCCATTACAAACATAGGAGAATTATGCGACAGTTCAAACGAATGTATTTCTGAGGGAATCAGGAGGCCCAGGCTGTTACAGAGAGAATCTAAGAAACAGACGAAGGAAAAGGATGAAGAGAATGACGGGACACAATCCTTGCAAGATGCACAGATGCTCAATAACACAGCGAATAATCAAGCCGTAATCTGTGGAACCACTTGTCTCTATCAGACAGAAGTCGGTTCCTCTTGTCAGTTCCTACAGATTAGCAGCCAAGTTTGCGGAGTCTGGGCTCTAACGGGTAGGTGTGGCCTGGAAGCAAGCTTATTAGACGCTGCTCGGTACCACACTGAATGACTGTTTCGATGGCCTTATTTCTGAGCTTTGGACTGTTTTTGCTAATAGTAGGTAGCTTCCACCGTTCCTTTAAACTGCCTCCATTTCTTTCTCCCCGATTCTTGCTCTTTCCAACCCACTTCGGTAAGGAAAAAGGACGTGACATTATGAACCTGATTGAAAAGAAAGCCTGACAGAATCCTGAGGTGACGGGAGACCTGTGTGTCCCCGAAACCCTGGACTGGGGGCCCCTTGCAGCTCTCAGGTAACCGGGCTGATGGCCACATGTCCTTCTGGCAGGGTTCCTGGACCTCAAAGCCATAAATAGCCAATAACATACCTGCAGACATTCCCACCCATCGCTCCGCACCCAGGCACTCGGTTACAAATGAGCTGACCTGTGATGGAGACCAGACCCATGTGGAAAACAGCTGGCGACCAAGAATTTGTCAGCTGAACTCCAAACTGGCGAGAGCTCTCAGCCCTTGAAGACGTAGGTCCCTGATGAACCAGAGACTCCAGCATCGGAGCCTTTCACAAAAGGCGCGTGTGTAATTCCCTGACTCGCAAGCATCCCCAAGCCAGTGTTGCCAGCATCTGGAGTTGACAGTTCCTGACACGAAGCCATCAGGTACAGCTGTGAGAATTTCTGGCGTTCTGGTCACTTGGAGGTTTGCAAATATAGCAAATAGTCTAAACGAAACTAGCCCAGTGGCTCCTGGAGTAAAGCGAGGTGTCTAAGACGAAATGACCTAAAAGCATTTTGTTGAACTTGACCGCAACGGTCACCTTGCCGGTGGAATGTTCCCCACATACAAGCCCCACACTGGAAGCGGGCACACTCACCACAGGAAGGTGTGTGTTGCACATCTGGGATGCTACGCATACAAGTGCACAAAGCAGCTACATGCTCAGGCTTGTCTGAGGGAACGGCTTGTCTGGAAGGCTCCATATGCTCAAACACACTGGAGGAGGAAGTGCGTCGCTCATCTGAGTAATGAACTTGGGCCTCAGAAACAATGTAGGAATGTGTGTGAAAATGCCACCACCCAGGAGGAACGTTCACCGGCTGCCGACCCACATAGAAACCTTGAAGAGACATTTGTTCTCTGCTGTCTCTAGATGCTGAGGAAGTGAGGATTAATCATTCGTACATTAGCGAGTATGAATAATGATTATACCATTTGGGAGAAACACCTAAATAACAATCTAACCCAATCTCTGTTGTGTAGGATGGTGGTCATGGCATTTGTAAAGAAGACATTTTTTTTTGTTCTAAAAAGAGAAAAGTGGCCCTGGCTGGGTAGAGCATCGTACCAATGTGCTAAGGTTGCAGGTTTGATCTCTGGTCAGGGCACATACTAGAATTAACCAATGAATGCATAAATGAGTGGAACAACAAATCAATCTCTCTATCTCTCTCTCAAATCAATTAAAAATTAAAATAAATAAAATTAAAATAAAAAGGGAAGGGAAGATTTGACTAACAATTTCACTTACCTAGAAAGCAATGTGTCCTCAAAACAGGGCAGGCAGTAGAACATCACAGCATCATTAAAGAGTGGACCCCTTGGCAAATACAACCACAGTAAAAAAAGATACTGAACTGAAGGGGTCCATTTGCCTGTGCACATCAAAGCCCAATCAGATGGGCACAGGGGTTTATCGTCAAGGAAGGAAGGGTTTATGAGTTGAGGAGATGGCACCAAGTCCGGAGTCACAGGTGAGCTAGTGCTCAAAGACCTGGCTCCCTGAGGGCGTCCAGGGGTCAGGCTGTACAGGGGGATCACCAATCACGGTGGCTGGAGGAGTTGGGGTCGTGTGCTGTATTGATGGGTTGGGGCCAGGGTAGGGAGTCGGCGATCATTGTTTCAGGTCCCAGTGTCAGCCAGGGCATTGTTCTGTCTGGTGCTGTGAGGGTGTGGTCTGCAGGGTCCGTTCAGCTTTCCTGGACCTGGGTTGAAACACAGCTGAAGCCAAGATGTTACCTTTAACTTGACTGAAACTCTGCTTCTGTGGTCAACAGACCTGAGGCTTTGTTCTTAAGATAGTTTCATACCGACGAGGATCTGATGTCCTAAGGGCTGAATGATTACGGAAGGGAGTGGATGGGCAGAGGGTCACGTTAAAGAACTGGAGTTTCTGCGTGGGTACAGTACCAGAACATTCTCTGGGGACAGTGTAGTGAATGAAGTGGATGTGGACATGCAAAAACCCAAGCGGGAAAAACAAACAAACAAACTGTTTAGCCCTGGCCGGTTTTGCTCAGCGGTTAGAGCATCGGCCTGCAGTCCAGAGAGACCCCGGTTCGGTTCCCACTAAGAGCACGTACCTCAGTTGCAGTTTGTCCCCGGCCCTGGTTGGTCGTGCGGGTGGCAGCCACTCGATGTGTCCCTTTCATGTCCATGTTTTTCTTTCTCCCTCCCTTTCCCTCCCTCCCACTCTGTCTGAACAAAAAATGGAAAAATGTCCTCGGGTGAGGATTAAAAAAAAGCCCAAGCTGGTCACAAGCCCTGACCTTAGAAGTGGCACGTTCACGTCTCCAGTTAGCCGTACCTCAGAGATCTGGGAGGTCTGGACCAACTCCTGGAGCCCTTTCCGGTCTGTTTCCTCACCTGAAAAATACGCACGTGCTCTTCTATCGGGATGCTTTTCACCCAGCTCCGGAGTGCGAAGGCCCGTCCGACCAGCAGACGCGGGCCTGAGCGTGAAGAAATGAAGGTGACTCGTTTCGCGGCGCTGCCTTCGCTGTGTCTCACGCCAGCTTTCGTGGGGTTGGCGGTGTTCTTAGCAAAGAGTACGAACCACTTCCCCCAGATCACTGGGTTCAGCAGAACGTGCTGTGGGCTGTTGAGGTCTTTCAGGGTGTTCAGTGACTGTGTCCGGGTGACGGAGCTGGTCCTACCTTGATCTGAGTACAGCTCCACCTCTCACTGGCTGTGTGATGCTGGCAACGGCCTTGGACTCTGTTTAATACAGTGGTCCTCAACCTTCCCAACACACGGCCCTTTAGCACAGCTCCTCACGTTGTGGCGACCCCCGACCTTAACATTATTTCCGTTGCTACTTCATAACTGTAATTTTGCTACTATTATGTCTTAGGTGACCCCTGTGAAAGGGTTGCTCAACCCCCAAAGGGGTCGCGACTCATAGGTTGAGAACCGCTGGTTTAACACATTCCTACCTCATAGGGTCATTGTGAACGTCACCTTAGGTAATGTCTGTAAAGGCCCTTAGCATAACGCCTGACCCAGAGTAACTATCATTCACTGAACACTTACTGTTATCATACGTTCAACTGATACTTATAAAGCAACCGTGTGCTTCACAGTTTAGAGAGTGAAAAGGACACATAAATGGGCAACTACAGTCAGTATGGAAAATCATAACCGGAGATGAACCCAGAGTGCTGTGGGCGCACACAGAAGGGCCACCCAGCTGAGCCTGGGCATCAGAGCCAGCTTCCTGGAAGAGGCGTCATCTCCCCTAAGACCTGCAGGAAGTGCAGGATGTTCGACTCTGGCCCTGTAAACCACACTGTCTGAACTACTGTGACGCTAGTTTGCCCCCCTGTGGACTGCTAGACCCAGGGCGCAGCAGGCTCTGAGGATACATAGTATTTCATTCCTCATGTTCCAAGTGTGGGAAGGCCACACCAGGAGAGACCATGCCACCTTGTGTGTATGTGCGCATATGTGTGCGTGTGTGTGTGCATGTGTGTGTGGTGTGCTTTAAAATATAGCTTTTCAAGAGAAATGAGGCAGTACACCAGAGTATTAATTATTAACCCTTATCAAGTCCAAGCAAAACAATGAACTTTCATTTCTTCTCCAGTGCTTCTGTTTTCAGCAGTTACTATTATTTCTACCACCACCACCATCATCATGCGTGTTGTTCTGTCTGGTGCTTTGGGGGGGATTCTGGCACATCCAGCGCTGGGGAGGGAGTCACAGTGGAACACACTGAAGGCGTTTTCCTTCCCTCCCTCACTCACACGCCTCCTGCTCCAATCCACATCACCGGTTCCTGGTCATTCCTAGCCCAGCATCGAGGCTTACTTGGATTTTACCTCGGTACTCCGGCCAAGCAGGAGTGTTTTTCCAGAACCAGGGGCTTCCTGAGACCCACAGAAGTGTGGTCACTGCTAGAATTCACTCTGTGTCCACATTGGAGCTGACCCCTCATGTGTCCCCATAGAACAAGCGTCCAGGGGTGTCTGCTGATGTCAGGCCCTGAACACTAACCTGTTTGCCTCCCAGAAAGTCGCAGTGGTGAAGTTTGTTCTTGGTCGTCAGTGAAACCCACTGGTGTTTCATTTGGAGGCTTTCCGAATGTCCAGCAATAATGGAATGGTCAAATGATTGCTTCTAGTTTTTCTGATCCCCCAATGACAGCAGGTGGTGAGGAGGGAGCCATCACAGCGCCCCCTGCCTGCTGCCGTGGCTCCCAACGCTTTGGACATGATGAGCAATGCACAGAGCCCACAGACGAGGTGACCAGGAGCATGCTCTCTGGTTCTTGTCTCCAAGGTGCTCAGGACGGCCGCGTCGTGGTGCTGTGTTCCTGCTTCTCCCTGCAGAGCCCACCTGCTCATTTTTTGTTTTTTTACATATATTCTGTATCTTTGTATTTACTGTTTACATGGACTATTATTCTGTATTAATTCCAGGTGTACAGCACAGCGGTTAGACAATCATGTACTTTAGAGAGTGGTCCCCCCAATATTTGAAGTGCCCACGTAGCCTCGTGTCACCTTGTTTACTTTAAGGTGTCAACTCTGGCCCACAGGGCAGGGTTTGGGGACACCGACGCCTTCGCGGGCCTGGCTGCAGGGGGAGAGTGGAGAAAGCAGACGGGGCCTCTCTCAGCTGTGCCTCTCCCTGCTCCCTCCAGGAGTGGCCGGGCCGACCTGGCAGCCATATACCACGAGCGCATCGACGTGGAAGGCCACCACTATGGCCCCTCGTCCCCTCAGAGGAAAGACGCCCTGAAGGCTGTGGACACCGTCTTCAAGTACATGACCCAGTGGATCCAGGTGACTGAGAACAAGGACCACGGGGCCACCTTCCCTCTCGTCACTTTCTTTGTCTCCTTGACTGTCACCCCTTCAGCATCTTCTCTCCTACTCTTTTCTTCACACGCCTCTTCAGGTACCCGGAGACCCCTGGTTTCCAGCCAGGCCAGAGGGCGGGAAAGGGCTCAGACCGGTGTCGTTAGCCGGCTCAGCGGGCCTGATGGCTCCGTCTTGTACCAAACCGAATAAATCTGGAAGCCAGCTTGGCATGGGCATGGGGCCAGGCCTGGGCTCTGCCCCTCATTCTGCCACATCCTGGCTGAATGACTTTAAGCAAAGTATTCTTTTTTAAAAACTTTCCTGGGCTTTATCTTTCACGTCTGTGAAATGGGTGAGTGACAGTTCTCGCAGGAGCACCTAAGTCTGTTGAAAAAGCCAAAGATGACAGCGGCGAGGGCCCCTGGCGAGGCGAAGGGCCCACACGTGCTGTCTGTAGCGCTGTCGGAACAGGGACCAGGCCGCCCCACTCACCCCCCAAAGTGCTTCTGCTGAGATTTTAAACTGTGCCCTTGGGGGAAGAGCGGGACTTGTTAAGTGTCCTTTCTCCTATATCGGACAGTTTAAAGCACCTCTTTCCAAACTCTCTCCAAGAGCGCGTCTCCGTGTGCTGTGATGACCTCTTTTGTCCACCCACAGGAGCGGGAGCTGCAGGACAAGCTCAATGTCATCATCTTCTCAGACCACGGGATGACGGACATCTTCTGGATGGACAAAGTGATTGAGCTGAACAAGTACATCAGCCTGGACGACCTGCAGCAAGTGAAGGACCGAGGGCCCGTTGTGAGCCTTTGGCCGGCCCCCGGGAAACACTCTGAGGCAAGAGGCGCCGAGATGGGGCGGGGGGGGGGGGACGCGTCGGGGAGCGGGCGAAGCATGTCCTCATTCGCCTCCACTTTGTGCTTGATCTTTGTCCTGTAGCAGCGGGGCGCCCTCCCTCAGGGTTTCATCCTCCCCTGTCTCTTTTTCTCTTCTCTGAAATGGGCACGCTGGTATCTGCCGCACCGAATGTTAGTGGAAACTAAAGGAGATGAAGGATGCATAGTGCTTCGCATGCTAAATGCTGAGCCCTTAACGGGGCTATTTTATAACTGGCCCGAGTGCTGCACTTCTCAAGCTACACCAGACACACACACAACCCTCTTTCTCTGGGTTCGGCCACCAGTCTGATTGCGTTCATCAGAGAGCTGTGATAAAGAGGTGATGAATGGACAGGATGAGGCCGTGAGTGGTGTCCTTAGCTCAGGACCCACACTGCTGGGGTTCAGACCCCCGTCTGCCATAACGGGGCAGCTCCATGACCCGGCCCTTCTGATGCTTCCGTCTACGTCAACGCAGCTTCCGTCTGGGCTGCTGCAAAGCAGGCTGGGCCACTGCAGGGATGAGGTACATGTCACTTACTACGATTATCACCATCAAAGAGGTGGTGCTTCCGAGAGGGTGTGGTGCTTCCAATGTGCAGAGGTGGGACCAGTCACCGCCCTCTGGGGACTCAGTACCCTGAGACAACCGGCCGCTCCTTCCCCGTCCCTCCAAACACTAATTCTATGTGGCAGCACTTTGTGCGTCACCCTGAGAAATGAGAAGAGACCAGTGGCACCTTTGGGTGACTGCTTTGCTCCATGTGACCTAGTCTCCTCCCAGGATAGGTTTTGGGGTTTCTGCCCGCTCCCAGAGGAAACTGGGACCAGGATGGCTGTCTTCCTCGACGGAGGCCCAGACTGCTGCCCGTGGAGGTGCCCACCATGGGGATGCCAGGAATAGGCCTGGGGGGCCTGGCGCCTCCACCCACGCTCACGCAGTGCAACGGTGATGTGACGGGAGGAAGGCTGCTGTGTTGATGGAGCTCTGGGGTGGGCTCCTCTCTTCGGTCCAGAAAGACTCTTCTCCCAACCCTGCTACTCCCATATGAGAGTCTAAGAGCTATCTGTTCGGGGGTTGAGGAACAGTTGCCACAACACCAGTCCTCCCCAGCTTTGTCCTCCCCCGGAGATGTCCCTTTTTTCTCAGGAAGTGGAGATGCTAAATGCGTTTACATAATGTCCCCACGAACGCCCTAAAAACGGAAGGGGAAGAATATCTTACACGTTGGCAGGTCCCACAGCAAATGCTTCTTGCAAAGAAGTTCTGTTTTCCTGGCAAGGAAGAGCCCCCTACCTCCAGCTTGGCACCCGGGAAGGCGCAGCTTCCAGAACGCTCAGGGTCAGCAGCCCCGCCCCAGGGAGCGCCCCTTCCCACGTGGTGTCCACGTCAACGCAGCTCCACGCTGCCTGAAGCAGTTGGCAGATTATGCACAAGTGGGGGCTGTGTTTGGGTGACGGTTTGTCATGTGATGGACACAACAGTTTGTGGGATCTGTGAGATGTCATCAGCTTTTTCACTTCTCCAGAAGCTTCCGGCAAAGGCACCCCACCTCCCCGAAGAAGTGTGGATTCTCTTAAGTAGGAAATCACAACTCACGGGCCATCAGAAACCCTCTGCGAAACAGCCTGAGGACTAATTAATTTCAGAGTTGAGTGGATAAACCTAAATTTATAGTCAGTTCTACCCAGGAAGAATTGCTGACTACAGGCCAGCAAGTCAACGTCAGCCAGTGGATTTTAATTTTAGCCATAAACATGTAAGCTGCGGCTTAAGAATGGAAATATGTACAGAGTTTACATCTTCATCCTGAAACTAGCAGTGTAATTCGTGTCAAACACCTGGTACTTTTCAGATTCAAGTATAGGTAGGTCAAGACAAAGAACAAATCCTCTTTCTTTGATCTTGGTGGTGTCCGATTTCTCTTTAATTTTATTTTAGCAGTTGCGACATAAATACATTTTTGTAATTTGTTCATTTATCATTTAGTAGATACCAAAATATTATAAAATACGTGTAAGGTGTAAAGAATAATGATTCGGTGGCACCTTATAGTCGATCAACATTTAAGAAATAGAACATTACCATTGCCTGTGATAATTCCCATGTGCCCTTCCCAGACCCCAACACCTTTGCAGCCCCCTCAGAGAAAACCAGTGTCCTAAATGTTGAGTTATCTTTTCCTAATTCTCCTTACAGTTTTACCATATATGGTCTATAGTTTTTTTAGTTGTCTGAACTTCTCAAGTAGGAAAACTGTCTGTATTCTTTTGCAACTTGCTTTTTTGGTCTCAAATGGAAACCCCCAAGATTCTTTCAGGTATTCTGTGTGGCTGTAATTCATTCCTCCTTGTTGCTATAGAGTATTCCACTGCCAAGACACACCATGATTCATTTATTCCTTCCACTGTTGCTGGGCTTTGGGGTTTCAGTCTGCAGTACACACCCCTCTGCGTGTCTGCAGGTGCGCATGTTTCAGATTTCTCACTGTATCTCCTGGAGTTAACTTCTTAGGTCGGGGGGCATGTTGACCGTCAGCCCTACTAGATAAAGCCACCTTGTTTTCAGAGACATACAAAAATGTCCCATATTTCCCATAATCAAATCTATCAGTTGTTTCGGTAATTTCTCTCTTGAGTCTTACAAAGTCCCCCCTGTTCTCCAGCTCCGATAAATAGTCCCGTGCATTTGACAAGCAGAGTGCAACAGCGGCCCCTCTTGGTTTTCTTTGCAGATGTACACCAAGCTGAGAGCAGTCGGACACATGGCTGTCTACGAGAAGGAAGCCATCCCTGACAGGTTCTACTACAAGAAGGGGAAATTTGTGGCTCCTCTGACCTTAGTGGCCGATGAAGGATGGTTCATAACTGAGGTAATGATAAAATAGATGACAATTGATTCATTAGACACATTCTACCAAACCGAAGATCAATACTTACTCGGCTCTCACACTTGAAAGATGTGTTTGCAGTGAAGTGCTGTGCGCGGCATCATTCCCTTCTTGAGAGAATCGAGAGGCTTGGTCCGGTGACTTTCAGACACAGACTGTGGTCTGGGACCCAGATCGCGGTTTAGACCGCATGGCTCCAGACTTGCTGTATTTTTAACAAATGGACCTTCACTCAGTTACCAGGGCTCACGACAGAGCGTGTTTGGTTTAAAGTGGAACAATCGGTGTGAACCGAAGCAGCTGCTTTAGGGCAGCGAAAAGCAAGGAGGTTCTCAGCTTTGCTGTCGCCTTTAAGAGAAATATCTGGCAAACAAAACTCCATAGATCAGGTCCCCCGTTGGCCAACTTGATTTTGCAGGGGAGATTATCTTGCACCTGGGGTCCAAACCCTAGTTGCCTCACGCCTGAATGACGTCAGCAGCCTCCTCCTTGCCTGCCTGGACTCCCAGCTCACCGGGTTCCTCTATCGGCTTCTGCTACTGGGCCAGGGTGGGGAGGCCTGGCCCTTCAGGGATCACAGCCACGTCCTGTTTAGAATACGTTTCTGAAGAGAGCGTGGGTTACTGTAGACAGGAGTTGAGGATGGGTTGCATACAGGTCAGACTAGGGAGAAAGGGAGTGGCGGGTGTTGGCACAGGAGAGCCGTTGGCCGAGGCCCCTGAAGTATCAGGCCTAAGACTGTATTTAATCTGCCAGACAGAGGTCGGGCGATGGCCAGAAATCCTGATCGGGCAAATGAGTGGACACCTGGGGACCTGGGTGTGGAACAGGGGAGTCCCCCGACGTGAACTCCAGTCATTCAGGCGGACTGAGTCATTCCTGTGTGTTCTCAGAGGGAGAAGCACCTGGTCACCAGGAAACAAGCCACACCTGGTCAGAAATGTCAGCTGTGCTGTCCCCCAGCGGAGCTGGGCCCTCTGCAGACTTGGCTTCCTGGGCCATGTGATTTAAAAAGTCTCCAAGAGGGTCCTTCTGCCCCTACCGCTCTCCCCTCTAAGGACCAAAATGCTTCTCTTCCTTTATCACGCGGTTTGAAATTCACCTTCAGTGATTTTATTCTAGGCCTACAGCAGTTTCATCCACGGTGGCTTCCTCAGGGCTCTGCATCAACACACATGCCCTCTAGTGGGTGCCTGTCCAACTTTCTTCCGTAAAGCCACCTTTCCGGTCACACCAAAGGCCTTGCGCTGGACACTTTTCCAGTTTAGAAAGTTCTGGTGAAATTTCTTTTGATTGTTTAAAAGCAAATAAACGAGGAGGGTTAATTCACAGTTCGCTGGCACTCATTTCTTAGCCTGGCTGTGTGTCTGTTGTTTGCTTCCTCACACCGAGCTGATAACTGCCTGGTGCGGCTGGTCCGTGGTCAGGAGGGAGAGTGCAAGAATGCAGAGTGATTTGGGACAGTTTATGGGAAAACAGGCTCAGGTAGGGACAGTGGCCAAGCCAGAGGTCATCATTAAGAGACTAGACAGCTATGAGGTGCCAGGAGGAGAGGCCCTGAACCCTCCGAGAGGATGGGACAGGCATCGGTGAAGCCATTCCAGCCATACGTGCCACGGGGGAAGGTTCAGTCTGGAAGGTAGACACAGTATCTTGGCAGTAGCATGGTTTTCCAATGAGTGATTCACACACAGTGATGGGGGACCCACAGGTATCAGTCATGATGGTCTTGGTTTTAAGTCATAGGCCACTTGAATAAATGTGGTTTAAATAGTGAAGATTTATTATTTCATGTAACTAGAAGTCTGGAGGTAGGCAGTTGCAAGGTTGGTTCATCCAGCAACCCGGTGGTATCAAGGCCCTGAGTCAGCTCTTCTGTAATTCTTCAGGCCTGCCGTTCAGGCTCACAGATGGCTGCTGCAGCTCCAAGCATCACCCCCCTTCAGTCATCTTGAAGCAGGAAAGAAGAGCTGTGGCTTCCTCTTAAAGAGCTCTTACTTTTATTAGGGAGAAAAACATATATCCCAGCATCAGAGGTTGACAATGATAACATTTAAGGAAGGGTCTCTCTTTAAGAAAAGAGTACATAATTATGAATATAAATTAGGAGCAGAGACCTGGAAGAAATCCATGCAAGTGAGAAGCCCTGATGCTTAAGCTTTTTAAACTACACTGTGAATCTGCTTCTGCCAAGAACCCGCTAACAGGCTCCCCTTTAGATTTCATCAATCAACTCAGCATGGCTAGAAAGTCCCTGACAGTGATGGTCCCCTCAGAAAGCCCAGGGACAACTCAGTCGTGCCTCCACCTACCCCTGGCTCTGCTTCCATTGCACCCTCTGCTGAGGGCCTGAGTACCTGCTCCCCTGCAGGAACTGGCAAGTTCCAGTATCTCCTGAGGGTGAAGACATTTGGTAACTGCATACTATATTATATATTACTTTTGCACGTGTCATACAAATATACACACACATTACATCTGTTAGTATAAATCAGACCTAGAGCCACCCACTATTTCATTGTATGGCTTTAAAAAGGGGGAGAAGCCACAGAACAGAAAGAAAGAATTGCCTATACCCCTCTCCCCTTTTCACCCACCCCTACCCCCTCTCTTTAGGAATATGGTCAATAATATTGTGATAAGTTTGCATGGTGATAGATGATTACTAGAATTAGTGGGGTGATCACATGGTAAGGTATAAGAACGTCTAATCAGCATATTTTACATCTGAAACATAAGATTGTATGCCAATTACACATAAATTAAAAAATGAATTAAAAAAAGAAAGAATGCCTAGCTATCAACAATTACTTAAACAGCTTTTAAAAAATATATAATTATTTCAAAAAGGACATCATTTTTTAAATTACTGGAAGCAGAACATTTTTTTTGTTTGTTTTGTTTTAAAAAGGAAAGAAATCAGAAGGAAGATATATAGGACGTGAAAAAAAGTAAGATTATTTCTGAAAGATGAGTGTTGACCCACTACTAATGTTATCTCATGTGGCTTTAATTACTAAAATTGTATATTATAAAATTAATCTACATTTGTCATGCCTAGCTCATGAAAAACTTCAGAATGACTCCTCCTCCAAAGTTTCAGTGACATGAACATAGTTATTTTACCCTTTGTAGATAATAAATCTATCAAGAAGAATTTCTTCCTAACATTTTGGTCAACAACAGCGATGAAATAATGATAGCTATCTTGAATTAAGTACCTTCTGGCTACTACTTGTAATTCTCTCAATGACTCTACATGATGGATCTTGTTAGTCCTGAAAATAAGATACCACATCAAACGGAACACAAACATGGTTCTGAGCTTCCTAGCAGCCAACTCAAAGAGGAAAGGACAATCAATGACATCAGTGGAACATACGATGTCTGTGACATACAAACACGAACTTTTCTGGGGAAAATCACGGGTGTCGCTGTGTCCTGAGAGAAATGTGGGTCTCTTTTCATCGTTCCGTTTTGTGCCTTAGTTCCTGCAACTGAATCCCTTAGCCATTTTACTCCTATCCTTAAATCTATGGATTTCCATTTTTAAGACTCATATGTAAAAATGTAAAAAAAAAAAAAAAATTCTGATTGTACTTTGATATAACCTTGGGGTTATATTTCTTAGTCTTCGAAACATCCTAGAAACGAGCACCCACCTCTCCTTGTTATCTTAGACGTTTTTCGTTTACATCTCTCTGTGGTTTGTTATGCTTACTGAGCTACAGGGAATTGAAAACTGCACTGTGTGTCCTGTTCCTGCTCTGTGCCGGGCTATTAGTCTCTCGCATCCCCACCCCAGAACCTCTCCCCACGGGGCCAAGGGACCGGTTGTGGTCCGCGCCCCGCTGCCCGCCTGAGGTCCTGCGGGCCGGTGCTGCGCCCACCTCCGTCCCCGCTTCTCCGCTGCGCGGGTCGCTCTGGGTCCGGCTTTGTAGCAGGGCAATCTTTCTGCTGGTTTAGCGGGGCTCAGGGCGACAGCCGAGTCAGGGCAAATGGATGCAGGTTGGGGGCCAATAAAACAGAATCCCTTCTCCCGTTCTCGCTGCAGCTGCTGTGCCATCAACACGCACGATTTTGCTTCCTTGGCAAAAATGCCATTCCCGTATAAACACCAACTTTTTGCTGCCAGTCTAAGTTCTGCAGACTCCAAGGCAGCTGGCTGCTGTAACAGGAAGACTTAACGGAGTTAGTGTTTCTTAATGGTCGCTTAGAGCGTTGTCACCGAGAAAGATAAAGATGGGGAAACAGATTTGAGTTGTCACTTAGAACTGTGCAGTTACCCAGCGTGAGTGCTGACGTAGCGCCTTGCACAGCGGCTCCCCGAAGTTGGCTTCTGCTCCTCACTCTTGAATGTGCATCCACCCCCTGCCAGTCCTTTCTCCGCCCCCTCTGGCGTGGGCAGAAGTCTGAAGGTGCTCATATTCTCAGAGGACTGAAATGAAGAGGCAAAACCCCAGGCTGTTTGCACAGGTTAAGTCCCAGCCTGTTGTCCCCGCCACGCAAGGAAATAGAGCTTACTAACAGCTGCCACCTCCTCTTCTGTTCCCCGAGGACCTGTCCACTGTTCTCTGGAAACCATCCCAATGCTTGTCCTGTCGGGGGTCAAGAGTCACACTCTTCACTGCAGCTTTGGAACCTAGAACAAGCTGGTCCCCTCCCCTAACCTGGGCTCTTTTCCCACAGTCCCTGGCACTCACCCCTATTCTATACCCATCCTTCCCCCGGAGGCGCCTTGAAAGGGCTGGAGCACACTGGTTGTCACAGTGTCTAAGGTCATCCAAGGTCCCTCAGAAAGCAGTTCCAGTGATGCTAAATGTCCTTGGCATTTGGGATAATCACGAGCAGCATAGCAAAACATAGAGTGAATAAAACAGGTGGGTAGTTTCCACCAAACTCAAGTACACACTCGTCCACTGTAAAATCCATGTCCTACCTGAAAAATCAACCACTAAAGCCAGCAATTACTTGATGAGTGC